CTCTTGGCAAGCTCGACGACAGGTGTTGCCACCTTTGTGGTCGCCAAGCTCCAACGCAATGACGTCCTCAGGCATGTTGCGAAGCGCCATCCACGTCTGCGCGTAACTTGGATGCGAGCTGGATCACCTTTGATTGCTGACTGCTGATATCAATGTCTCATGTTACGAGCCAATGGTGGACCGCCGGCGTTGGTTTATGCCTGCAACAACGGCCAGCGAAGTAGAGGATCTACCGCCACGGCGGAAGCTCGAACTTCCAAGAAGTCGCAACGGCGCGAGACGTTTGGGTGCGCCAACGCTGGCGCAAGAAATAGTCGAGACCACTTCAAGATTGACCCCCCCCGTTCAATACAAATGCCAAGACACGATAACCCCCCCCCCCACCCCCAGAAAACTTTCGACGGTATCTTAACAAGCAGCCAATCCGTTCGAGTTGATTTACATAAGTGCGCGAAGGCGACGCTCGCGGGTGTCATGGGCAATGCGATGGGGTGCTGCTTGGGACCCGAGGAGCATCACGGTTCGGCATTCCTTCATCCTGCGATGCCATTGACGTCTTTTGCCTATAGCTGACACCACGAGCGGCCGCAAGTCCCCGCTGCTTCGCCGGATGCATTCGTTCGTAGACGACTCGTGCTCGGATTCGACGGCTTCGTTGTCGTCGAGGTGATTTGGACGCCTGCTTGTCTATGATGCACTGACGTGCTTTCGTAGCGCTAAATCCTCGATTTTTAGCCCCCGTCCTACCTCCGAAACCCCTGGGAGCCGACTGCTTCGTGACTTCTATCAGCATGTCGTCGATACCGATCAAAGGTGCCTACCTACGATGAACAGTCAAGTGGATGTAAGTCTTTAGGTCACATAACGTCATGTTCATACAGTGACTCGGGTGGAGAAGAAGACACGTTCCACGACGCGGGCGTTCTCCCTGCCGCAGCACCACCTCAACCGAGGCGACGAAGCTTACTCTTGCAGCACACAGAGACGATGCGCCATCTCTCGAAAGCTGCAGTGGACCCCTTGAACATGTACAGTTCCCTTGGTCTCTTTCACACAGTACGTTTTACATAATGAGTGATACGACCAAATCATTCGTTTCAAACCCGCAGAACGAGCCATTGCTGCTAAACAGAGAAGACCGCGTTCTCCGTGCCAAGTCCGTGGACTCTCTGCTCCTATCACACCACATTAGCACCCCTCACAAGCTACCACACGTCCATCGCGTGAGTAGTTACGACGACACATTCGCTCGTGTTCGTGAAAGGATGCCTTGTCTGATCGTGCTGCGGTAGGACGGCCAGTACAAGCCATTTTGGGCCGACCCACATCACGTCAAGGAAACGGTGAATGACACCACTGCATCGACCACGATTGCATCCACAGCACCATCGCCAGCAAGCTGATCCACTCCATCATGCGATACCAGGAATATGCGCAGGATTTTGGCGGTGATGACCCAATATTTTATTTGATCCGACTGCGCCGTTGTATCAGAGCCATTCACAATCGCCGTGCATGGCACCGAAGTCTATTAGTTGGTGGGTTTCACCCATGTGCTGATGCCGCGTTTGGCGTGCGAGTAGTAGAACTTCCCCCGAATGCTTCGGCTTTCGCGCTTGACCCAGCCCGGCGGAAGCTGCTCTTCCTTGGGCATGTCGGCCATTTGTTTTGCTCGTTTCTCCATCTCTTCCGGGTGAAAATGACAGATTTCCCTACACCTCCCCCCTCGTCAGAGACTCATGACTACCCGATTTTCTATCACAACATGCCCGCCACTTCCACAATCGACTTGCCATCATGAGTCATACACGTACCGAAACATGAGTTCCTTCAGGTCGTTCTCGCCCAAATCTTCAAAGTCAAAGCTGTGAAACTTTTCAACTTCGCGGTCGTCGTTGGACTCGACGTAGTACGACGCCAAGTACGGATGGCGCAGGGCTTCCTGCACCGTCATGCGCTTGGACGAGTCGAAGACGAGAAGCTTCCATAGCAGATCGAGGCCCTACTCACTCGTTCGTCATCGTACGTTGCTGGATCGGTCCAGAATATGCAAAAGAGCTGCTGTCCACAGGCCCGTAATACGTGTGCAAAGAGCTGCTGCACGCGAGAAACGCAATGAAAGGCTCCTACCTCTGGATTGGCATTGGGAAATAGAACGGACGTGTCAATGCCCTGCCGGGTCGGTGTTCGACTGAGCAGCTGTCGACCTTTGAATTTCTGCGCCTGTGGGTTCTCCTTGAACGAGACTTCTTCGGGAACTCCCAACACGTTCATGATGAGCTGCAGTTGGTGAACATAGCTGCGACCAGGGAAAAGCGGCTTGCGACCGAGCATTTCGGCCATGATGCACCCCGCCGCCCACACGTCGACACCTTCGTCGTATGCGCTCCCGAGCAACAGTTCCGGGGCTCGGTACCACCGCGTCACAACGTACTCGGTCATGCCGAGGTCGTCAATGTCCTTGGGTCTTGCGAGGCCCATGTCGCAGATCTTTAACTGGCAATCCGAGTTGATGAGGAGGTTGCTGGGCTTTAGGTCGCGATGGAGGACGCCGCATGCGTGCATGTGGTTCAACCCACTGAGCATTTGAAACACAAAGTAACGAATGTGGTCGTCACTGAGCACCTCCTTCGAGTAGATGATCCGGTGGAGGTCCATTTCGAGCAAGTCGACCGTCATGTACACGTCGCGAAAGTCCTGGTACGACGGCGGCGGGATCAAGTCCATAAGCGACAAAATGTTGGCGTGACACAAGTGGCGCATGAGTCGGACTTCACGAAGAATTTGCTTGAGTTGATGGGGGTGCCAGATGCAGTCGATGACTTTCTTGATGGCAACGCTGCCGCCCGTTTCTTGGTTCGTCGCGGCGATCACGATCCCGTACGCCCCCCGACCACACACTTTGATAAGGTGGTAGTGCTGAGGAATCACGAACGGCGCGCCACACACTGTGTACACGTGCATCGTTTCGTCGTCATCGCATTGCTTGGGCATGAGGGGGTTGACGGCGGCGTCCGGCGACTTGACAGCATCCATGGATGGTTTCTCGGACGAACCCGCATCCGTGTTGAGGCTCATCTGAGACCAACCAGGTCGATTCAAACTGGGCGCAATGTTGTCGTCTTTCTTGATGTTGCTCCACTGCATGAGCTGCGCCGCGGGCGTCGGTTTATGCGCCGCCTCCGCGGGCTGGAGCACGCACGAAATCGTGAGCTGGACGCGACCGCAAAACTCGCCACGGGTCGTGCTAATGGTCACCCATTGCGTGTGCTGCTGGTGGTCGGACGACGAAGTGCTCGACGTGTGGTTGGTGTTGTGTGACTTAGTCGTTCGTTTCGCCTCTTGCTCCATGATGTACTTGGCAACGTTCACAAACGCGGCGCCGACTTTCGTCGGGGCTCTGGAAGACGATGACGAGACTTCGACAACGTCCACGAGTAGGCGGATGACTCCCTGAACCTGGTCAAACGGCAGTGTGAGCACCGAGTTCCACACCGGCGCGGTGAGGTCGCCCTCTGTGGAGAATTGGCCCTTGTTTCGTGCGGCGTCCGTCATGCACGGGTACGGTTTGGGTGGTTGTGTCGGCGTTGAGTCCGCTGTGGCAGAGTCGGGCTTGGACGATGCGAGGGGTGCAGACACCGACCGCATGAGCAGACTCGTCGACAGCTTGCGAGTAAGTGTTGATGGGAGTGGCAGGTAAGATGACGCTGTCGACGACAGCGACGCGAGGGAGGCGGTCGCGGCCGCGGCGGCGGACGATGGAGCTGGGAGAAGTGTTGGGGGAAGCTGGCTGTGCGACGTGGACGTAAGGTCGCCGATGGCCAGGCTCAGAACAACGCGAGGATCCTGGAGCGACTGGGTTTTTCGAGCGGTGGCAGTACTGCTGGACGAAGTTGCCTGGAGGAGCTTGAGCCCCGACCCCTGGAGCACTCGCACCGTGAGTGTGCCGGAGAGCGGGGTTTGGACTTCTTGAAAGTCCTGGGGCAGGGTGAGGGTCGTGGCGGCGCCGGGGACCTTGTACACGGCGGATGCGGCGACAACGTCACCATTAATTTCAAATTTAATGAGGCGGCCGTCGGGGGCAAAGTTAAACTTGTGGACCCAGTTCTGGACAAACTTGCGCCGGTCGCGGACGTTCTCGAGTTCTTCTTTCCCGGACGCAACAGCCACCATGTCTTCCATCGCAATGCCCTCGATTTTGAAGTTGGTCCACGTCGTGTGCGAGGCAAACGTGTGGAGGAACTGGACAAACCCACTCGCGCCACGGAACGAGCCACAAAACGGGACGGAAGGCGGGTAGTTGGACGAGACCAAAATGTCACGATCCAGGAGGCGGAAGAAGCGGGAAAAGACCTGTGCGGACGTGAGAAAGACGAGGCGGAAAGATCGACGGACCTGCTCAGAAGGGGGTGGAAGCGTCACTGCCATATCCCCTGACGTGCGCCAGTTGCCGCTGTGCGCCGTGTACAACACGATCAACATTGCGTAAAACTCTTCGATCTCGAGCGGGAACACGGGCAAGTCGGGCAGAGATGCCATGGCTTCCTGGGCCAGTCGCATCCATATCACGCGCTCGATTGGCGTCGGCGCCGTGAGTTGCAGCGTTTTGCCGTCATGGCAGCTAAAGACGAACCCGTTGGCTCGATTCGGCGCTTCTTTCACGCCTTGAATCACATACGACGGCGGGGGCGGCCTGCCTTCAACAGGCGACTCTTGCAGCGTCGCCATGAACGCCTCCTTCGATGCAAAGCCTGCGTGGTCCGGTGCCGTGTCATCAAGGGTGCGCGACACAGGAAAATGTAGACGTACGTTTGAGGGTCGTGCCAACCATGACGTAGTAATGCTTCTCCCATCGCCGCAACCACTCGGACCGTTTGCTTAGGATGCCCTCCCATTCGACGAGCTCCGGAGTCAGTGGTTGTAACACGCGTGAATTTTCGTCGGCGTCGTTCGATACGTCCATGGAGAGCGCTTCTTTTGCGTCTAGGAGCATCGATTGGACATCGCCGTCGTCAGCGGTGACCGATACCCTGCCTTCGTCTGATAGACATAGCGATTGCTGGTACAATTTGGCCTCCTTGCCACCTCGAATGAGCTTGGCATCGCTCAAAATTTCTGCTGCCGTGTCTGAAAGCTTTCCAAAGTCGACACGGTCGGTGCGCCCTGGCGACGCACCCAGCGACAGCCGGCCGCCAGATGACGTCATCCCATTCAAACTGGCACGGAAGGTTTCGTCCAGACCTAGATCATCCGCAAGAGACCTCCTCCATGCACGCTCTCTCTCTCCGCTTGTGTAGCAGTCGCTCTGTGTTCGAATTCGCGCCGCCGCCTTTCGCGAAGTTGCCGCCGCCATCGTACGATGACGATGATGGGGGCGAAACAGTTGCACCACGATACATGTATTTTAATTCATTCAAGTATATATTATTTTCTAGGTAAATTCCCATTTTCACGGAAGTATAATGGGAATTTCTCTCATATCCTGGAGTCAAAAGGGATAATTTCCCCAGCGGTTTATAAATTGCATGTGAATCGTTGGACGAATTATACGAAAGAGTTGATCGCGAATAAAGTTGTATGCAGATAAAAGGGCAACGTACCATCATGGATATTGAAATATTCCACCACATTGCAGCCTTCACCTTTCATATTTCCTTGGAGATTGCGGTGGAAATAGCCCATATTCTGGTGTGTCGCCCTTAACGCTGATAGAGTAGTAATATTATATTTTTGTGTGTACAATCAAGGAAAATTCCATTCAACTTTAAGCTCATGTGATTGGTCCTTCGATTTGGCATTGATGCATCTCATTGGTCGAAATTTGTTCAATTTCCCACCCCATCGCGAAATCGACCATGTCGGGAGCGCAGTCCGACCAGGCGCGGACGCTGCAATCCGTGCGATCGCGCGCCGACCATCTTCGACACACGATCCAGACACTTGAACAGCTCATGGCATGGCACCCTCTGACGCAGTGGCCAGAATTCTTGAGCAAGTTCCAGGTGGTTGCGAAGCAGCTTGAGAATATTATGGGGTCCAAAGACGACGACGACAGTTTGCTTCCAGAGAGCTTACACCATTGGGTGTGTGCGCCAAGGATGTCGCTTCCCGATCCATCGCACATCCCCATCCTCCTTCGAACGCGGGAGGATCCCGAAATGGAGAAGCGTGACGAGGAACTGCTGCAGTCCGACACGGCATTGCTACTCCCGCACCACCACCGCAAGCGCAAGGCAGATTGGACTTGGGACGAGCTGGATCTGCAAAAAGAAAACTTCAACACAGCCGTGGAAGGGTTCGAGGAATCGCTGAAGAAGAGCTCGGACGAGCTGCTCAAACGCATTAAGGTTGGCAAGTTCAAGGACGTCGCGCGCCCGACCTTCACCCAAACCGACAAGTACATGTTCATGGAGACTGGCCAGTGGACCAAATCATAGGAGATCATCGCTTGACACGACGTGGGTAAATCGCCGAAACATTGATCACTTCATAAGGAACGTCATGTCGGATGCCTGGGGCCACTGGTTTAAAGCTCACTAATAACCAAACAGTAGTCCTCATTTGAGCGAGCGAGGGCATGGCCTTTCCAGCAGCGGGAGATAAGACATGGCTATCCCTGCGCTTGCAGTTGGTTCTACCAGTTCTTATACATAGATTCATCATGTCCACTTGACCAATAATCCCACGAACACAGCCCCTTTGGTAATGCATGTCTTGTCAGTCTTACGCCGAGCTTCCTGGACGTTGTGCTTGTATACACGGCATTCGCACTAGTATACTTTATATGGGCTGCCAGGTAGTCGCCTGGCCCTGAATCGCCATGACGCTTTTTTCATGTTTCACCAACGGATCCGCAAACTGCTCAAGCGATGATGCATGCTACGAATTCTTTAGAAATGCTTGATTCACTGCGGTGGTTTCGCTGCTGCTTGCATGCCGTCCCACATGGCTGCCATTTCGGCCGAGTGAGTCGTGCCAGCCGTCGCGCGACGTCGCGTGATGCGTTTGTAGATGAGCTGCGTCACCTTGGTCTGCATGTCGACGCACCACGACGCCTTCTCTTGGTACGAAATTGCGTCCGCCGTCAGCTCTTGGAGGTGTTTTTGGCGCTTTTCGTCGGCGGGATGGGTCGAGAACCAGTCATAACCGTTTTCGTTGACGAGTTTCATGCCTTCCCAAAATTTGGGCGCCTAGCCACAACCCATTCCGATGAGGCCAAGGGGAAAGAGTCGGCGACAAGCACATCATGCAGGCCCAAAACTTGGCGATATGCAGAGTTCATGAGACACAAGACACAGCGACACACTGATACGTACTTCGGACGGATCGTAGCACGCCGCAGCCATGAGCATGAGGCCAATGTGATCGGCTTCGGATTCATGTAGTCGACTGAACGGTAGTTGGCAAAAGAAAGTAAAGATCGACGCAATCAACTCGCTGTCCACGGTCAAAACGGACAACCCGAGGAGGAGGGGTAGGTAGCTCAACGTTTCCGCTGTGTGTCTCGCGAGGGCATGGGCAATCTCGTGTCCAAGCACGGTCGCAAGGGCATTGTACTTGTTGGAGCAAATTCCTTGCTCTACCATGGCGTCGATGAAGTCGAGCAGGCCCGTGTACACGAACATTTTGCCTCCTACATTTTGACAGATCAGGAAACTGAGCTCGAAGCGACCCACGTGCCCATAAAACAGCACGCGTTGATCTGAGGGTCCTGCACGAGGTAGATTTGCCACTGAAACCCAGGCTCGAAGATCTTATCTGCCACCGCGACGAGTCGGCTATATCAAACATGTCAAGGACAAACAACTCGTGACCACGGCATGCTTACGAGGCGACGTCCTTAACCATCTTGAAGCGCGGGCCGCTGTTCACAAGGGTTTTTCCGGCGAGGGCTTCCTGTGCATGTTGATTCCCCATTGCCTGCACGGACGATGACTTGTGCGAAGAGTATCGTGGAGGTGTTGTCGCACCGTGTCGTCTTCGCGAGAAAACACCACGACCTGCGTCCGTCCCGTGATCGGGACTGTGTGCAAGTTGGTCACGAACTGATAGAAAGCCGTGGTTGTCGCGAACGCTGTGAGTCCCCAACACCCGTTCAAAATGAAATGGTGAAACTTGTCGTCGACTACGACACACTCGTCAGCCGGGTCATCACGATCCCGCGGGGTCGAGTGGGTACGTGCCATGGGCAGTCGCAAAGCTCACGTCCTTTTCCTTGGACACACGGATCGAGTACTTCCCTCTCGTGAACTTGGGTGTCGTCCCCGCCATCCGGCGGAACGCTCTCGACAACATGGCAATGCTGCAGTCAATTGACACGTCGTGCGCAATGATTATCAGGCATACTGTACCCGTGTGTCGAAATATATTTGATTAAAGTATATTACGTTGCATTCGTGTGCATTGGCTGTTTCAAGTCAATTTTCAGCCAATCCGAATGCGCAGATCGACCAATCCCAAGTCCGAATGGGATGAAATGGTGCAATGCGCCACGGCTTATTCCGGTCAAACGCTTCGGTGACGTTGCTTTGTAGCACGTGGTCGAAGCGTTGTTGTGTGATTTGTACTTGCATAAATTTGGCCTTGCCTTGCTGGAAAGGATAAACCATATTCCTGCCTACTTTGCCATTCCTGTAGATTGCTGCAGACCGTGACGTACCATGACAGATGCCTTGGGCTCCTTGATCAGGGCGAAAGACATTTCCGTCTTGTGGATGTGTTGCATTGGTTCTTCGCGGCAAGCATCTGACCGTGTCTCTTTAGGTTGCCGAACGAGCAAGTCGTTGTTGTGTTGGAGTAGGATTTCCCGAAGGATTGCTTCGCACTCGGACCTAATCGAAGTGAATTTTGATTGTGTGTCCTTTCTATCGGCTATGTATGGATTGCGTTATGTGGATGTTACGTAACGTATTGTTCGCAAACTATGTGCGTTTTGAGATGCCAGTTTCCGGTAATTTTTGATATGTTTTGCTCATTTTTCAATTAGAACAACTCTTGACGCGCTGTATCCAATCAAATGAATCGATTTTTGTCACGAGGAGCTAGAATTTATCTTCAACATTATATTTTTTCCATGAGGAATGGAAGACATCGTCGACAACCTAGCGCAATACTACATGTGAGGCACACGGAGTACAGTGAACCCCGGAAAAAGCCGACATGTTTTCATCCTGAAATGCATGGAGACCGAATAGAATCAAATTTTCGTTAAATGGCACGCCTTCGTCCAACTTGATTGGCTATAATCACGAGAATTTTAGTCAGTCAATCACAGCTATTTTTCGTATCGACACTGTCAGATGATATTTCTGATGTAGTACAGGGTTGCAGTATACTGGAGGTAGAATTTCTATAAAATAGATCGTGTGTAGACGTACACTGGGGGATGTCGGCTATTACCGGGGTTCGCTGTGTTTGCAGTTGTCCTCAAGAGGTTGCCCTGCAGAAGCAAACACCATTCATTGATTTCGTACAGCAGCATACGAGTATTTCTCTCACAAGTGGCTTCATGCGAAGCGTTCCTCGATTCTATTCCTCCCACATTCTGAATATGAAAGGTATGGATGCCAGAATCATAAAGGTTGTCAGAAAATGGATCGACGTGTCCCACGAATGCTCACCCATACGCACCAAAAAGGCACATGACAGCCGCCGCATGGTATTGAATACTTGACAATTGTATGAATATCAAGCACCCAAACAACTTTCACGTTCATACTATTTGCAATTGATGTCACCGAGGGACGACACCGCGTCGACGTCGAGAGAGCGGCTGCAGCCATCACGAGGGCTCACCTTGGCCTACTTCCACCGCTTCGTCAACGACCACGGCGGCCGACAGGCATTTGATGGCCTCACTACTTTGGACGTGTGCATGCGCTTTGTCAAGCCTGCTACGCAACACGCCAACGTGTCGTTGGTGGACCTTGTCCTGAGCCAGCCAGAGGGACACCAGTTCGCCAAGCCAGCAGAGTGGCTGATCAGCCATTCGTGGTCGTACAAGTTTCTCGATGTTGTGGAAGCTATCGACAACTTTTGCCTCGAGCACGACCTCAGCCACGACACGTCGTTCTGGTTTTGCATGTTTGCCAACAACCAACACGCCATCGGCGATTCCCGCGGCATGTTCAAGCAGTGGCTGGAAGCGTTTCGCACGGCGTTGGTAGACACGGGCAAGCTCGTGATGGTGTTGAGTCCGTGGCATCACCCCGAGACCCTCCAGAGGTCGTGGTGTGTCTACGAAGTGTACTTGTCCGTTGTGCTCCATGCGCGCTTCGAGGTGGCTCTGAGCAAGAGTCAAATGGACGACTTTCTCGTCGACGTCCAGACGACACATAGTATCGATCAGATGAAGGCGCAGATCAATAGCAAGCACTCGATCGCGACAGTCGCCACCGATCGCGACCACATCTTCGACCTCATCAGCGAGCAAGTTGGATTCGTTCAACTCGATCGCATGGTGTTTGACGTGCTTCAAACGTGGGTGTTCCGCACGTTGGACAAGCAAGTCGCGATGGCGCATTCCCCACAGGCGCGGTTCACGTGGATTTTCACTAGAAGTGTATTGCTACTCAACGACCGGCAATACGAGAAAGCGGAGGCCGGGTTTGAGGCTGCAGTGGCCATTTTCGAGCAAGAGCTGGACGAGTCATATGCACCCGGATGGGAAGCCAAGTTGTACATTGGCACGACCAAAGTACGCCAGTTTTGCGCGCGTGAAGTCTGGGAGCCCATCTTTGACAGCGCGTTTCCCAAGCTGGAGCAGTTGCTTGGCGCAACCAACTCCACCACGCTGTACATGAAGAGACGCATTGCGGGCGCATATTACATGTCCAACGACTGCACTCGGTGCCTCGCGATGATGCGGGAGATGCTTGACGTCAAACTGCAGCTGCCGGAAGACAATGAATTGTTCAGCGTGATGTTTGCCTACGGAACAACGCTGTTACAACTGAACGAAAAGAAAGAAGCTGAAACGTGGTTGCTCAAGGCACACGCGGGATTGTGCCGTCACCTTGGAGCAACCCATCGAGATACGCTGCTTTGTCTGGGAAACTTGGCCGTGGCGTACGTTGAAACGGGTCGGTACAGCGAAGCCCTTCCGTTGTTGGCGGAAATCTACGAAGAATCCGTGCGCATGCACGGCGCCACGAACGTTGAATCGGTCAGTGACTTGATGAGTTATGCAGGAGTCCTCGTATATTTGGGCCGATGTGACGACGCAGTTGCACACCTCCTCGCGTGTGTCGACCACTTCGAACGGATGAATTCTCCCACGTGGATCCTGCGCAGTACGACCAAACTAGCTGTCAGTGCTGCGCATGACATCGACAAAACTGACGGTTGTTCTGTAGGCAAGCATCTACTGGGACGAGTGCACTTGACGAAATGTGACCTCAATCAAGCTGCGGCATCGCTGGGATCCGTGTATACAAATATGTTCGCGTTGTCTGGCCCGCACAGCGACACGTGCCGGTTTGCATTGTACGAGTGGCACTTTGCGACCATGGAGCTCGAACGAGGCTACGACTGTTTGGCCAAGGTCGATGACTTCATGCTCAAGTTCCACGCTGCAGACGTCGCAGGTGAAACGTGGGCCTTCGGAGTGTGCCACATGTGCTACAAGGAATTTCAAGGAGACATCGCGTTTTGCACCACATGTACCCCTTACTCGACCAAGTTTTGCACCGCATGTGTGGCTTCGGCGAGTTTTGAGGCAGTGTGTGGACACCATCGTGGCCCGTGGAAGGTGGTGAAACCACCGATGCGGTACCTCCTGGAGCGAAAGCTTATCCTATTGGCGAACGCTGGCCGATGGGACGACTACGCCTCGATTGCCGATCAATACCGTGCGTATTGCGACCAATTTCAAGTGCAAGATCCGATGCAGGCAAGCCCAATATATAAAGTCATGTTGCTCAGTGCCATGCGTAGGTGCTCCAAGCGCGAGACGAGACGACACGGCATCGGACACGATCGTGGACTGTGCTTGGCGCGTTACTCGTGATCGTTGTCCTAACTCGTCGCAAGTGCTAACGTTGCGAGCCAATTTTTGGGCATGCGCCAATTTATGGATGAATATCCGGAAGGTCCGACCACTCTACATCATTGTATCCGACATTTTAGCCAATCATCAGCTGTGAAACTCCGATGAGCTAATCAAATTGAGTGAAGTGAAACATTTTAACTAATCAAATTGATTTAGGGTTGGGGGAGTAATATACGATGGTAAACTATGCGTATGCGGTCGGAGTTTGAAAATAGTTATCGGATATTGGCATTCACAGTCAAACATGAAGACAACCGCATAATGCAGACATATAGGTGGCATACGACATGTATCCGACAAATTTCTGGTAGGGTATTGAAGAACCGACATGCTCTTGAGATATGATTGGACGAAATGTCTTTGAACCGTTTTGATTGGGCGATCAATTTGTCGTTTGGCAACAAAACAATTTACACAGCACATATCATGAATGTGATTGGTGGAAATGGGAAGGACTAACAGGATTGCTCAATCTCATTGGTAGAAATGCAAAGGATTAACTATTCGTTGAAATGTACTAATCCTCTGCCAAGTCCGCCGATCCATCGGACACCCCATGCTCCGGCGACTGGACCCGTTCCTGATGTGGACGAGTTCCACGTGGCGATATCGGGGGGATTCCCCGACCATCCCCACCACGGGTTCGAAACGATCACGTACTTGCTTCCGCACTCGCCTGGGATAATTCTGCTCGAATACTTTTGTGGACACAAGGGCGAGCTGGCGCCGGGGGACCTGCAGTGGATATGCCCCGGGCGAGGCATCGTCCATGCCGAGATGCCCCGGGCCAAGGACAGCAACGTGGAAGCCATCGTCATCGCCGGCGAGGCCATGGGCGAAAAGACCAACGTCTTCACGAATGTCCCTATCACATATGGGCACTTCACCCTCACCGGCCCCGCCACGCACTTCCACCCCCTTGCCGTCCACCACAACGACTTTGTGTACGTGATCGAGTCGGGTCGGCGGCGAGTCTGTGGAGGCCCACTCGGTGGTCCAGAAAGTATCAAGCTCCAGTGCTCGACGAACGGAGCTCGAGAACGGCCAAGGTGGAAACAACAACCTGTTGAAATTCTCAAAGTGCTCCATAAAATGTCATTGGCTGACGTATCGACCAATCACACCATTGTCGGATGAAAATGTCGGATTTCCAAAGTTATCCATACATAACGCACGAAGGTCCGACCAAATTCTTTTATGTATATTTAAATACATACAAAAACATCAAAATGGAAATTCCAGCACAATAGCTGCCACGAACTGCGAGCATGGATCGCCTGCGCCCTCAGTCGACTGTGCATGCTAGGGCGTCGGGGATGAAGTCGTTCCTCAAATTCCTCGAGTCAGAGAGCGTCGAAATCGACTACGTTAAGGCATGTGTCAACAAGGATCCCACTGGTCAATGTTTTGCGTCCGTCATGGAGAAGTTTGCGCTCTACCTCTCGGCTTACGAGAAAGAACCGGGCATTGCGCTGTCCAAAAACTCGTGTATTCAATACTTCCGACAAGCGAAGATGTCGCTACTCGACGAGTTCCCCCGTTTGCAATCTCTCGTGGATGCAAAGCTACTCCGAGC